GTTAATTTCAATAAATCATTGGAATAAAACTTAGATAAAAGTCTCCCGTCTCTCCGCCGTTGCGTTTATGAGTCAAGGTTTACGCGGTATCAATGTCGAGAAGGAATGGTTTTTTTTTTTTAAAAAAAAGTTCAACTTTTATCTTTAAATTAAAATTAATTTTATCAAATCCAATGGATTTATTAGAGATCATGCATTTTATCCTTTTTTATAGACAAATGGAGCACACCTCCCAATCAAATTGTACAATTTAATCTATTCTCTCTACAACCTTTTAGATATAGGAAATTTGTCTCTCCCAACTTGTTTTTTTTTCCCTTTCTCTTTTTTTGTTTTTTTTTTTCATTTTAATTTCTTTATTTTATTTTATTTTAATTTGTAGTACATTTAGTTTTCTTTGAAATCTCAATTGCTTCTAAATGGATGTCTTGTTGAAAAATATTCTCTTCCAATATACCATATGACAAGCCCACACACACTCCCATCAAATTTGTCATCAAGGAAAATCCAAGCTCAAAATGCTCAGGCCTGTGGTTTTTCATTTACCATGCAATTTAAAATTAACAGAAAATATTATACTATATAAAGTAACAAAAAAAGAAAAAAAAATTCAGAGAATGATATAGGACAAAAACTTTACTAGATGAGGCATAACCCATCATCCATGATGTTAATACTCTTTAAAGAAAGAAAAAAAATGGATATTCGGCTCTTTTTTTTAGGAAAAAATATTGATAATATAAAAAATAAGACAATTAGATTTAATATTTTCGTGGATACAAAAATATAAAGAGATATAAATTTCATCCCATTCAATTTGGGAATGTGGATTTTTAGAGTAGATTTCATTATTGTTTTTCGACCTTTTTGTAATGTTTATTTTTATTCGTATTTTTAAAAAAAATTAATATTTTTATTCATGACTTTTTGAATTTATTCAAAATTTATTTATTATCAATACATCATTAAAATTTGAATGGAATATTAATGAAATTTACCATATGTCACTTTGACAGACATATACATGCCAAACTTCATAATGATAAATAATGAAGTCATTTTTTTATATTTTTTTAATTAATATTAAACAGAATTAATTACTTTTCACATGAAACAGCTAATATAGGTACAACTAAAATTGATAAAACGAATTAAAATAATATATTAGTAAGAATGATACAAATAAATAGAATAATTAGAATTTATTTATTGCTTTTGACCTGGCAATACTACAAAGGAAGCATCTGGCCCAATCAGAGAGAGGGAAGAGAAATGAAGACCAATCATAGGAGAGGATTGTTCATTATCTCGTCGGCATTAAACAACTTCTTTCATGTTTCAATAATTAAGGATTAAATAATTTTGTTTTAAGCACAAAGAGCTTGAAATTATGCAATATTAATTAAGACTTATGTTTAGATTCTTTATGTAAAGAGAACCACCCAAATCATGACATAATTGTCAATATTTCTCAATTAAAAAATTAATCAATCAATCATATTAAGAAAGCACCATGCCAATTAATAATTTATATACCTAATTTATGGTACAATTATCACAATAAAGAATAAATTGAGACCACATCTTAGCCAATTTTTAAATTTTTTTTTCTTTCAACTTCACTTCTTTACACATATGAAACTAACCTTTGATTCACAATTCATGCATCAAATAGAGCTTTCAAAGAGTAGTCCCATAAAAATTTACATTCTAAATGCAAAATGTAGTGATCAGTTTCTATTATTTTAGCTAGTCATGGTACTCATCATGCATTTGCTTCTAACTTTTAAATGTACATATTTTAGTATTATAATTACAATCAAACAATTTTTAATATATTCTATATGAAAGAAATAAATTAATTTATCTTCATTTATTTATTTATTTATTTTTGAGTTATAGAAGTCATTTGTCAATATATCTAATTAACTTTTCTTTTTGTTTTTCCTGTTTTATTATCTTGGATATCCTACCACTGTTGCTGGTATTTATTTAGTAAAGTTGCTTTCGATTTGTCTAATTTTAGTATCAATTTTCTGATACATAATAAAATAAATCTATCAGATCACTTAAAAAAATATAATTAATAAAATTAAACCTGGATTTTGGAAGTTTGCACATCTTGCTTATCTCTATGCTGACAGTGGTGTGAGATCTTCAAAATTGGACTGATTCAACTGTGAATCAATTATTACTTTAGCATATGTATACCTGATTTCATAATTAACCAAAGAAAAATACTTTCCCAAAACAATTAACAAATACTTTATGCTGAATGGGGACTTGACTGCATCACCACCCAACCAAGATTTTTTCAATATAGTTTTGGCTTCCTATGCACAAGACAGAAATGCCACTACCAAAAGTTGATTAAGAAAGGAATTAAAAAAAAAAAATAGTACAATCTATGCTTTGAAGAAATCTATCATAAGATATCCTGATTATAAAAAGAATTGTTTTATTATTATTTCTGTTTTGTCCTAAACCCTAACTTCCCAACATAATCCAAAGTTGTAACAGTTAATCCTGTCTGAATTTAAATCATCAGTCTTTGTCTTAGTCTCTCTAGGACACACATATATTATATATATAAATAATTCCATTACCCTTTACATGACAATGGTTACTACTTCACCCCACCAATGAAATTATAACCTTGTGAACACTAAGAGAATGTTGTGTTCCGTACAACAAGAATTGAGAATTTCAAATTGACAAATAAATTAAAGATTAAAAAAAGGACAAGAACCAGTGGAGAAGGCATGATTTTAAGTAGTGATGGAAACCAATGTCTACACAACAGCCATATTAGAAATTTAATGTTTATAAAGATATAATTATAAATTTTTTACATAAAATATAAGAACAAAGTTATAAAATTAAAAAAAAATTTTAAAATTTTTGAATGGACGAAACCTTTACTAACCTCTTCATTCCGCCTCTGGTAGAAACTAAAACTATGAAAGTAACTATTGAATCATGCCTCATGGGTCCTCTTATTCTCCCTTTATAATATAAGTATTAGGTTTAAGTTATATGTTGTTGAATTCTTCTGTTTAATTTTATGTTGATTTTTTTCCTCTCACGTCGTTGGAAATTTAAAACAAAAATAGATAAAATATACCTAATTTTTGTTTATGTACATATTTTAATTAGAAATAAGGCAAATTGAAAGTGTGCTTTCATGCTTTAAACCTTATGACAAAGAGGTGTGAAGAAGAGTCTTCTTCCCAATATGCTATATTGAGAATCTTGAATGTGATTGTGACTTTGGCAAGGTAGATGTGCACTAGTTGGAAAAAAAGTTGCTCAAAGAATTGTGGATGGGCTTAAAGTCACAGGAACTTGAATTTTCCTTTAGGTGTAGAAATTTCTTTTTGAATATATATATATATATATGTAGAAATAATTCATTTTCAATGCACTTGTCAAATTAAATAGGATAAAGGATGTGAAAAGAAATTTTTCTTTTTCTTTTTTTTTTGCCCTTTTTCTTTAATTCTTTTGCATTGAACAGCAAATTGGTAATAAAGATAACTTTGTCTCACAACTCTCCACATTCCCAAAATTATAACATGAGTGTCAATTCCTTGAAGCATTTGTGGAGACAAAGATAATTCGATATATTTATTTATCTTTTAACCTTTAAATACTTTGCACTAGTCATTTACCTCTTACTTGTTCCTCATTTTACACAAAAAAATTATTCTTAATTTAAAAAGAAAAGGAAAAGAATCCATGGAAATTGAAGAATGAGAAAAGGGGCATCTAAGTAATTTAGGTGGCATGCAGGAGGACAACTATTCCATTCCAAAACATTGAAAGGCAATTGCTGCTTTTGGTTCATATTGCTCAGTGAAAACAAGAAAATGTGAAAAAGGCATCCCTTGGGATGCCATGTTGAGTAATCCAACAATCCCAAAAAAGGGTGTTTGGGGGAAGGGAAATTGTGGGAAAGATGATGTTGTTTCTTTTAAGTGAAGCAATAAAGAGAAAGGGCGAGAGAGAGAGAAGAAAGAGAAAGCAGAAAATAATAAAAAAGGCTGTGAAGGGGTCATTGTCAAAAGTTGTGATGGTGGCATATAAGGTATCTATCCATCCATCTAATCTATCAAAACAAAGCATCCAGACAGTCCCTTGAACTATAACCAACGGTTCTTAACTTCTAGCAAGGAAGGAAGTAAAAGAGAAAAAATCTAAAAAGGGTTACCAGGTTAACAACGTTCTAGACAAATGAAAATATAAATCAAATATACTTTAAGATGAGGTGGTCTTACTGAGAAAGGTGAAAAAGTGGAAAGGAGGGGAAGTCCAGTTAAGTTTAGCTGATTGAATGAGGGAAGAGTTTTGTTCTGGGTTGGAGTTATTTTTGTCTAGTGCAGGGTAGTACAAGAACAGCAGCAGATGCAGTGATGAGATCACAGAGATCTTTAATCTCTTCTCTGACCAAGCACTGCCACCCTTACCAGTGGCATCATCAAGGGCTCCTATAGGCCAAGAAAGTGTTCCTCTTCCCTATACTAGCTAGCCTTTATATTTACTGTTCTAACAAGATCTTTTCTTCCTCTCTCTCTTTGCTTCCCATTTTTTGCCTTTTTTGGACCTCTAGGAACGTAATTGTAGCTGCAGTAGTAATGAAGAACTTTGAAGTTATTGTTTTCCAAGAAAACCCTTGTTGATTTTTTTTTTCTGTTTTTGCTTCTGGTTGCTGTTGGGTTGTCCCGTTCAAGTGGGTGCTAAGTCTTTGAGTGTTAACCCATTTCAACAGTTTGGTTACTGAATACTACAGTACTACATAAAAGAGGCCCAATTGCTAAAAGCTGAGTTTAGAGAGAGAGAGAGAGAGAGAGAGGAGAGAGAGAGAGGGGCAGAGAAAGAAAGAGACAGAAGAATAAAGCAAAGAGATGGGTTAGGCTGGGAATAGGAGCTGGTTTTTAGCCTTCTGGGGGAGGGTTCTTTTCAGGCTTGTTAGGGGAAGAGGGGGAGGGGTCCTTTTGGTGTGGTGTTTTGTGGTGATGGAATTAGAAACATTGAATGGCAGGGCCTTTTGGGGGAGGCAACGGTATCAGGTTTCAGTGTGGTGGCAGAAGCACAGACAGCAAGAGGAAATTAGGAAGCAAAGAGAGGGTAAAGACCAACAACCCACTAACAAAAAAAAGGTGTCCTCCATTAAAAGCTGGAACAGGAAAAGCGCAAGGACCTGAGTCTGGATCCTCAAAGGAATCATCATCATCATCCAGCAACGACAACAACAACAGCAACAGCATCATCCTCCTCATCACCATCAGCATCAAAATCCAATTCTTAATTCAAGTCATATAGGAGTAGTAGGGGAGGAGGAGAAGGAGAAGAGCTACCCAAAACCAACAAGAAACTTCTTTTTCCCACCGTCATCAATATCTACAAGAAACCCAATCCCAACAACAGCAAGGCCAACGTTTGTATGCAAGTCTGGACAGACAAGTAATTCAACAGCAGGAACAAGAGTCCCCACAACCAGCCAAGAAACGCACTTATTTCGCATCCTCTTCTTCTTCAGCTTTTGGTTCAAAATCAACCGAACATGCAAGAACAATGGGAGATAGCCACCACCAAGCTGCAACATCGTCAAGACTGGGGATAAGGCACACTGGAGGCGAGATCGTTGAGGTGCAAGGAGGTCACATTGTTCGGTCAACTGGAAGAAAAGACCGTCACAGTAAAGTTTGCACCGCTAAAGGTCCACGAGACCGTCGTGTCCGTCTCTCAGCTCACACCGCCATCCAGTTCTACGACGTCCAGGACCGCCTCGGCTACGACCGCCCTAGCAAAGCTGTCGATTGGCTTATCAGAAAGGCCAAACCTGCCATCGACGAGCTCGCTGAACTACCTCCCTGGAATCCAGAAATTTTGACTACATCGACTTCAGTAACAAAACCAAATAACCAAGACGACCAAAACACGACGACAACGGCAAACAATGATAAACCCTATCAGTTTGACATCCACCCCAGTGGAAACCTGGTGGAAAACCTTGCTGCTGGGTCTAGTACTCGCAGAAGAACGGCTACAATAATGGGAAACGAAGTTCAAAGTCTTCAGCAACAAGACATGGGAGATAACCCGAATAATACTTCGGGTTTTATTCCACCTTCTTTAGTTTCTGATGAGATTGCGGATACAATTAAGTCTTTTTTCCCATTGGGAGCTTCAAGTGCGACGCCGTCTTCTTCTATACAGTTTCAGAATTATCCACCAGATTTGTTGTCCAGGACCAGCAGCCAAAGTCAAGATCTGCGGCTTTCGCTTCAGTCATTTACGGAGCCAATTCTTTTGCAGCACCACCATCACCAAGCTGCTACAGCTCAGGCACAACATAGTGAACCTGTTTTATTCTCTGGAACCAGCCCATTAGGTGGTTTTGATGGGTCGTCTGCGGGATGGGAGCACCACCACCAACATCCGGCAGAGATTGGAAGGTTTCAGAGATTGGTTGCTTGGAATAATAGTGGAGGTGCTGTTGATACTGGTAATGGCAGTGGCGGTGGTGCTGGTGGCGGAGTAGGAGGATTTATCTTTGGCACTCCACCACCACAGGCGCTGCCACCGTCTTTTGGCCAAAACAGCCAGTTGTTTTCTCAGAGGGGACCCCTTCAGTCCAGTAACACGCCCATGGTTCATGCTTGGATAGACCAGCCAATTTCTGCAACCGACGAACACCAACACCACCACCACCATCATCGTCATCACCATCAAATTCCACAAACTATCCATCATCAAGCTGCGTTATCTGGCATTGGATTCACCACATCCGGTGTATTCTCTGGATTTCGCATTCCAGCACGAATTCAGGGCGAAGAAGAGGAGCACGACAGCATTGCCAATAAGCTGTCCTCTGCTTCCTCTGATTCTCACCATTGATCGAGTAAATTGGAGAAAAAGCCAAAGTCTTTGCCCTCTGGCAGGTTTTACTTTGTAGTACCACTTTCTTATTTCCATTTAGTTTTCGATGAACAGACCAATTTTTACGTTATTTTGCACTTACAATTTTTTCCACTTATTTAAGTGGTCTTTCAGGACTAGTTGATTGTTGACTGTGAAGTCGATGAAGAGCTGACATGATGTATTCAAGACCAGTTTGAGGGAAGATTTTTGTCACCTTGAATCAATGGCCTATGCCGTGGGAAGAAGAAATCTGGGTGGATTTCAGGTTATTCGATCCCCGGTTTGTTTAGTTTCTATCAGTTGATTGTGTTGTAGCTTTAATTTTATATTTGAGTGGGCTCTTAGAGCTCAACTATGGCTTCTCTTTCTGTTGTACTGTTCATGCGATTCATGTTACTAGACTTTTTGTTTGTGATGTTTGTGTTGGCTGCTACTGTTTCTTTCCCTAGAGTTGCTATTGAGAAGCAAACCTAGTTTGTTCCAATTCAGATTTGATTTTTTCCTCAATTAGGACAGACTCAATTAGCAGAAGCTGGTATTCTTTTGAAAATTCTTATGAAATAAGGTAACCTCAGATCAGCTAATATGGAAAAGTCTTTCTTGACCCTTTAGCCCTTTGATCTGATATGGAATTAGAGAAGCAAACTAAAGTTCTTTCCTCTGTTTAGAAATGGTCATTTTCTCACGTAGATGAAAGAAAGAGTTCTGTTTTTTGATTTTATTTTGTTGCTTTACTACTTTCATAACAACAGCTTCCTTAAACCTGCAAAAAGAATTGAAAGTATAACTAATCCTTTTTGCATCTCTATTCGTGGTTGGATTTTTGGGGGCATTGAAAGAGAAGTCGTTTTCTGTGAACAGTAGGATTTGCTGGATGGAATAGAGTAGTAGCTGATTCCACTATTTAGTCTCCCCCTGGGCTGAAAAGAATGGATAATTTCCTCCTCTTAAGTTATAATCCCGTTCTTTAAGTGTCATTTTAGTCCATATTGCTTTGCTTTTTAGATGCCTCTGTTTGAAAATGACAATGTCTGAATCAAGACAAGGATGCTAAACAAGGATGGGAATTGGAAACCTAATTTACCGTCTTAGTTAAACTTGAACAAAGAATAATCGACTAATCACCATCCTAGAAATCTGAATTGCCAAAATGGTCAGAATTTACATAGCCTATTGGACTTCTGTTACTTTAGTGACTGTATATGCTTTAATTTGAAACATGGAGTTGGTCTAAATTACATGCCCTGAATCATACTTCAGCATTCAGACCAGGTTGTGGAGAAACCTAAGGTCATACTTGTGCAATCAATGAGCATGGTAGATAAATTTAGCAGCTAGATCAAGTGGGGCTAAGTGGAGTACATCTGCAGGAGGAACCATGAAAGGGGAATGGGATGAACACAAGAAGCTCAATTATGGAAGAACAGTAGAAAACATACAAGGATAGATACCACCACAATTTTGGTAGTGGCCCATCTGTAAATGGTCCCCCACTGCCTTGTAAATCTCAGTCCCTATTAAAAATCTCTTGAGCCTAGCTGGAAATTCTTATTTTCTTAAGTAGCATAAAACAAATATATGAACCCATATATATATATATATTAAAAAAAATACTTTGGCTTCTATTGATATTTGCGTTATGGTTGTTGGTACTTCTTTATAGGTGGTTGAGGAGTACAACTCCACAGGTTTTAAACATTAAATCACTGCAGAATACTTTAGAGGCATGATTATTAACACAAACAAATAGCATAAGAGATGAAAAGACTCTGGCTTATTCCCACCTGATTTTATAATACTATATATAATACAGAATCTTGCATAGTGGATGGTTAAAGTTGGGATTTTTTCAGGCTCTATCAATGTATATATTTTAAGGTGGATGGGTGGTTGGAATGTAGAGCTTTCTTGTTGGCATGTAGTTGGGGCTTACCTATGATGCATAATTGCATAATGCTGTGACAATGAATAATTGTAAGGATCATTAATGCATGATTGGAAAACTAGTTCAAGCTCTATGTGATTGTGGAAATAATAATAATAATAATAAAAAATTAAAGTTCAAAAAAAAAAATGCTTGCTTCATTTTGGTTGCTGCTCTAAGGATTTATCTTTCTGTTTGGACCTTTCTGGTTGAAGTTATGTTGAGGATTTATCTTTCTGTTTCTCGCTAATTGCAACAGTTGGGCACTGACAAATTTCACATACATGAAAAAGGGATATATATATATATATATATATATTTTAATTTTATCTTCAAATTCCTCAAGGCAACAAAACCTGTCAGTTATTGTACACAATGCATTTGCAAATCCACACAGAAATCATATTGAATCACTCCAATGAATTGCTAATCTATCACTCATCACCTAGACCAAGATGACCTGTGCATGATGAATGGCAGCTCCTTGGATATCTTTGGTTTCAGCCATCTGTTGGGGCAACTTTTTTCACTTTTGGAGCTACTTTCCCATTTGGCAAAGCAGGTTTAACTGAAACAGGAGCTTTCATTTCTTTCTCTGATTTGCTTGCCTGTCTGGCATGAGTTTTCCTTGGGTGGATTGGCTGAGAGTGAACCCTGACCTCCCAAGGCCTTGCAGCTATCCATCGCTCCATCCAGCTCCAACCCCAGTTTTCTTTGCCCAGACCATATGATGCTTGGCCAAGATATTGGCTTGCATTTGCCCTCCACTGCAAATCAACACAACTGATTTTAAATTCCCAACATAACATGAAACTTTTTAAGTATCAGACTTGAACTTCATACTTATGGACCTGATGAGAGAAGGCATAAGCCATGGCACGCTCGCGTTTAACTGCTGCTTCTTCTCTCTGTTGAATTCTGGAAAGGATTTCCTCCATAGTTTCAGAGCCTCCACACCATTCAACCTGTTAACCAATCGACTGTTAAAAGAAAACAGCCAAAAGGCTACTTAATCGACAAACAGGGTATTGTCTCTCGCTGTCAAAATCGTTTTATTCTAGAAACTTTCACTGCTGGGATTTTCTTGTTCAGCAGGCCTAACTCTCCATTAATGCAAAAGATGGAAGCAATTAGCAAGTTAGACTCAATTTATTAAGTTCTTCACACATTATGGCTACTCCTATGAAGCCAGGCAACCTATGCAAACAAAAACCTACAGCTAGTTACATCCATGCAGTACAGTAACCCCTAAAGCCAAATTAACCCTACAGCTACTTGCAGATGCCATAAGATTAAGCTTCCACCCCAACATCTATATATTACATATAAAAGGAAGCTCCAACCGAGCTTCCACATTTTGTCGAGTGGAGGCTTTAGGATGGAGTTGTGAAGCTTGAACAAGGGACTCAAATTTTGCCACATGGATCTTAGAAAAGGACAGCTGTGATGTGTTTAGTTGGTGGGCTGCATCCTGAGGGGTATAAGCTGGACGGGCAGTGCGCAATCCACGGTTTACCTCTAATTGGTTGAAAAAGGAAAACTGTTACAGGTATGTCTTTGAGAGTGTCGGGAAACCCTCATAGTTCCTAGTTAACAAGGGAATTGCTTTCGTTTTACTGGTAGATATCGAGACAAAAGCCTAATTAAAAGAACTTTGTACTTGGGTACCACTGCTTTACTTGGCCATTGGAAGTAACTAGTAACTAACAAGGTAGGTACTATCAGTGATTACCTCTAGTTCATGAAGCTTAGCCTCAAGTTTCAACTGATTTTCCATTTTCTTTTGCTTAAGCCTGCCTTCAGTTACCGTACATATTCTCCGGGCTCTGATTTGAGACTGTACGTTGCACCAGGAATGTAAATAGCTCATTGTGCTTGTTGTTTGCTTTTTCACCGTATGTCCCTGGATCAATATATTGAACCTCCCGGCATCTCTCAGCCTCCGAACTGCTTTTCTCGCCTGGAAAAAATACAAATAAAAAATAAAATATCGTAAATATATGATATGATCAGTGTAAAATAATGTGTTAAGTGTTACGTACATATATGTATATGTGCGTGCACATGTGCATTATTTTCTGATTAACTTTTATAAATGACATCCAAACAAATGATAATGAAGATGTAAATGAATTATGTGCCTCATGGTTAGTTGCATTAATGAAAAACCTAACATTTCCAATTGATTTGTCCAGCTGAATCAAAAGGCATTGACATTATTCCAGTGTTTTGCCCCAAATGAGAGTAACCTTAATAAATTATCATTATTAATTTTTATGTACTTATCTAGTCTAATCCTTCCTTTAAGGGACCCAACAGTATCTACAACTCTATGAATGACCTATTTGCATTTATTCATTTGCAAAACCACCCCCAATATTCAAAATCACCCAGTAAAAAGCCTGGAAACTACTTGACCATCTTTCAAACAGCTTGTTCTAGGGATTAAAAATAATAGACACCCTGTTCTGGGGACTTATTCCATAGACTAACTATGCTGTAAAAAGTCTTTGTTTCTCATTATATGACTAAAGATAAAGCTGTTGTTTCTTAGGAATTACAGAGAAACAATGGTAGTTGAATCCCATTTTCTTATATAGAGAAGGGACTAAATTAGCAGTTCTGCTCTTCTTAGGATGTAAACTCGCAAGGCATCATTCATTAGATATAAATGTGAAGTTTTGTTCCAAAACATGATCAAGTATCAGTTCCTATATCTGCTAAGGTTGTTGGGAAAATAAATGTTGCAAAGATTCCTGGACAGAAATGCCTCCATAAATTTATCCAACAAGTTAAATGCATTTTTGGATGTTGATATGAATTACATTGTGATAAATTTTAGTATACCCTGTATGCCCGAAAAGCCTTCTGAATCCGAGCAGCAGCTATCTCTTCAACTGGTATTCCAGGAAGACCAGGACTGCTCTGTGAACCAGCAGTAGTTGCTGGACTCCTTGCCTCTTCAGGAGCATCGTGACTCCCTTTACCATTTGGTTTTTCATTAGCTGAGTGTACCTGTAATCATGGGGTATGAAACCAAATTAAAGAAATGAAGAATTGCAGAAACAAGATCATAGGCTGCAACATGGTCTGAAAGACTAGAAAAACATTTAATAGTTTCTTGATACATAAACAGTAGAATCATCATCCTCAGTTAGAAGCTCGAAGTAAAAACTATGTTCTCAATCAACCTTTGACTCAATGAGAAATACCTCAAAGCATGTAGGCTGATGCATAATAGAGCCTGTTAGATAATAAATTATGATCTTAATATCTTGTTAACTGATTAAGTTTGCATGTGGAAAGAACCTATCATTGATATAAAAGATTAAAGTGGAAAATAGAAGTGAGAAAATAAGGAAGGGGAGAGCCAATAAAAGTCCCTTTTGTTGTTATTGAAAGATACACATAAGCATTATCCAATTATAGAGGCTTTTAGTGTATAAATATTCTACCTTCGCTTGTTTGGATCTGGCTGACTTGGATTTCTTTCTACAAATGATTGATCTAAACCAGTTTCCCGAACCCATTGAGATTGCTCACCAAAATGCAGAACTATACTTCATAAACTGATGAAATAAACCTGGGACATAAAATTTTCCAGGCTGCTTAGATGATTTATCATAGTTAAGCTGAACAAGCGTGAAAAACAATGCATAGAACAATGGGAATGTGAAG